ACAACACTATATGCCCCTATATACCCCTTATACAATACCATATATCCCTATATACCCCTATACAACACCATATACCCCTATATACCCCTATACAACGCCATATACCCCTATATACCCCATACAACATCATATACCCCTATATACCCCATACAACACCATATACCCCTATATACCCCTATACAACACCATATACCCCTATATACCCCATACAACAACAACAACAACAACACCAAAAGCTTTATTTGCATGACCATAAAGGAATTACAGTATTGCAAAAGCTATTAATCTAAATTTAAGTACTAATTCAACTAATTAGTACGTGCAAAACATTACAAAACGTGACAGTTCTCATTCATTCATTCATTGATATTAATTTGGTCCTTAATTCTAAGCATTGCGAGATAAATGAAACTAATTGGCAGTTAATTAAATAATCAGAAGAATTCATAAGAAGAGATATTAAAGTATCGTGTGAAAGTGATTTGAAGTCAGGTATTTTAGTTTCTAGTTTCGAGAAAAATATGTCTCTGATCTGAGAATAAGCCTTACAATCTAGTAAGAAATGATTTTCATCTTCGATTTTCTTACTTGTACAAAAGTGACATATCCTTTCATTGCGAGGAATGTTTTCGTATCTACCTGTTTCAATTCTAAGTTGATGACTACTTATTCTAAATCTAACTAATGTTTTTTCTCGAAGGGTTTTTTCTTGTTAAAACTAGGTACGGCGAGGGGCTATAGTCGTCTTTGATTGTACAATAAAAACTGAGTTTTTGTGATTGTTGAAGTGTCTGATTCCAGTAAGAGACGTATTTATTTTTCATTATGCCGATATACCTATTAACTATTGAGTCACTCAATGAATTACAGGAAAAGTCATAGTTTAGATCATAGTAGTCAACCATTTTCATGAGATTAGAGTAAAAGCTAGTTTTTCCGTTATGATGAAGGTCAATTGAAATTTGTAAGGCCTGTTTAACTATAGAATCTTCATCCTTACCTCTCAGATAGTCTAAGTAATTTAGAATCTTTTTATTTATATCAATGATCATGGGAAATTTACCGAGTTCAGCTCTACAAGCAATGTTGGATGCCTTGTTATGTACTTGTAAATAACGTTTACAGAATTGCAAATGGGTTTTTTCAATTGCAGAGCTGTCCCAGGACTTAAAATCTGATTTAACAAAAGCACCCCAAACTTCGCTGTTGTAGGTTAGAATTGGTGAAATCATAGAGTCAAAAATTTTACACGCAAGTGAGGGCTTAAGATTATTCAAATCCGTGTGTCGCCTGAGGCTGAAGAGCGCGTGAAGAGCTTTTTGTCGGAGATGTTCAAGCGAAAGTGTAAAATTTCCGGAAGATGTAATTCGAGTTCCTAAGTAAGTATAGTTTTGGACAACGTCGATTACTTCATTGCCTATGCGGAAGTTATGTTCACATTTTCGTGTGCATCGTTGAAAAATCATTATTTTGGTTTTCTTAGGATTTATTCTAAGCATCCATGAGTTGCAATATGAAGATAGTACGTTAAGGCAGTTTTGTAGACCAAGTTTGGATCGCGATAATATTATCAAGTCATACAACACCATATACCCCTATATACCCCTATACAACACCATATACCCATATACAACACCATATACCCATAAACAACACCATACACCCCCATACATCACCATACACCCCTTTACATCGTAATATACCCCTATACAACACCATATACCCATATAGAACACCATACACCCCAATACATCACCATACACCCCTTTACATTGCCATATATCCCTATACAACACCATATACCCATATACAACACCATATACCCCTATACAACACCATATACCCATATAGAACACCATACACCCCAATACATCACCATACACCCCTTTACATCGTAATATACCCCTATACAACACCATATACCCATATACAACACCATATACCCCTATACAACACCATATACCCATAAACAACACAATACACCCCTATAAATTGCCATATACCCCTATACAACACCATATACCCATATACATCACCATACACCCCTTTACACCGCCATATATCCCTATACAACACCATATACCCATATACAACACCATATACCCCTATACAACACCATATACCCATATACAACACAATACACCCCTATACAACACCATATACCCATATACAACACTATACACCCCTATACAACACCATATACCCATATACAACACTATACACCCCTATACAACACCATATACCCCTATACAACACCATATACCCCTATACAACACCATATACCCATATACAACACCATATACCCCCATACATCACCATACACCCCTTTACATCGCCATATACCCATATACAACACCATATACCCATATACAACACCATATACCCCTATACAACACCATATACCCCTATACAACACCATATACCCCCATACATCACCGTACACCCCTTTACATCGCCATATACCCCTATACAACACCATATACCCATATACAACACCATGTACTCCTATACATCACCATACACCCCAGCACATCACCATACATCCCTATACATCACCATATATCCCTATACAACACCATATACTCCTATACATCACCATACTCCCCTATACATCACCATACACCCCTGTACATCGCCATATACCCCTATACAACACCATATACCCATATACAACACCATGTACTCCTATACATCACCATACACCCCAGCACATCACCATATACCCATATACAACACCATATACTCCTATACATCCCCATACACCCCTATACATCGCCATACACCCCTGTACATCGCCATATACCCCTATACAACACCATATACCCATATACAACACCGTGTACTCCTGATACATCACCATACACCCCAGCACATCACCATATACCCATATACAACACCATACACCCCCATAAATCACCATACACCCCTTTACATCGCCATATACCCCTATACAACACTATATACTCATATACATCCCCATACACCCCTATACATTCCCATACACCCCTATACACCACCATACACCCCTATACAACACCATACATCCCTATACATCCCCATACGCCCAATATATTCCCATACACCCCTATATATCACCATACACCCCTATACAACACCATACATCCCTATATATCCCCATACACCCCTCTACGTCCCCATACACCCCTATAAATTCCCATACGCGTCTTTAAACATCACCATACAACCCTATATAGTACTTTTATGTGTGTCATTGTCCCATTTTATTTCTAGATGCCTTACATTCAGCAAAGCATATATAACATTAATTCTTGTCAAAGCTCGCCACTAGTGGTGTGCCTGCATAGCATGGTTGCCCCCGTGGTGGTATAGCTGTCTGCAAAAAGTCCTTTAATTGCTTAAGTTCCAAAAAGATGGTGGCTTAAAAAGCTCAATCTAACATCACGTCGCAGTCACGCAACGGCAAAGTAAAGTCGTAGTGTTTTGCTAATCCAAGCATATTCTTATTGTTTTGGGGGCATTCTCGTTGGCTTTGTTTTCGTCGTTTCTTGGTTCGAAGAGTAAGCCGGCCGACTTGTGCCGTTATGGGACTGTGGGGTGGAGGGGGGGAGGGGGCGGTGAGATTAAACATGGACTGGAGCGACTGCAAATGCGTCTGATTTCCGCAGTTCCTCCGCAATTCGGCTACTAGTTCCAAGGTCAGTGGAGAAAACATTATTTATGTAATTCATCTATTCATTTATTTTCATTATTGGTATATGACCTTCAAATTTCAAGTTCATCAATAAAAAACGATATTGAATTATTATATGTACTGGATGGAGATACCATACTCTGTTGAGCTTTTCACTGAAAATCTAATTCACAAATAGCAGATAGGTATATTTGCTAAATACATTGCAATTATTGTCGGTAACTAAAATTTATTTAGTATATATCCACTCAGGCTTGGTGTTTTTGGGCAGTCTGATTGGTTGATAGTTATCTCCTAGGCCAAGCTCTTTCACAGTATATAATCAACAAAAGCATAAATAAACTTCAGACATTCATTAATAATTCATTAAAAACAAAACAAAACAAAGAAATTTTTGTTTGTAAAATGAGTGTCTTTATGTCTGATAAAAAAAACGGCTAACCTTTACGTTCAATTGTTAGGCCATAATAACCACAAATCTAAATACATTTGTGCAAAAATGAGTTCATCTATAAAATTAGCGGAGAATTTGAAGCCATTCAAAACAACTCGCAACTCGCAATTGTGTATTACCAGGTGTAAAACCTCTCGGCTTCACAAATTTTTTAAACCTGATTATACACTCATGCACATTTTTTTAAACATGCTGTGCACCTTTCCCTCAATTCGCCTATGATCTCTGACCCGAGGTTAAATTTGTAGCCCTGTTCCTTTTTCTTGTTCAAAAGTTCAACAATGACTATGTTCTGACAAATGTGCGATTTTTGCCGCTACTTGAGCTGTACTTTTTCGTTCAATCGTTAAAGACATTTCCTTAACCTTGTCCGATTCTGCAACAAAGTTGTACAGCGTTGAAAAGTTTGATGAATTTCTTGGAAGCTCTCTAATGAAGACAATTTCTTTACAAACTACTAGACACAATGTTTCTAGCAGTCTCCAAGGTCCCGAGGTCACTGAAGCTTTCTGTCTTTCCATAAACTCTTTCCCTCGTTGTCTCTTGTAGGTTGAAATGGTAGCTCTCCTTCTCTTTCTTCCTGTGCCTGGTGAAGCGGAAACACCGCCAATTTGAAAGATATTTCCACAGTTGTAACATTTGCATGACTCGGTACACCCGAGTCCTTCGGCAACGCATGGACATTTTGTTTTTCTTTTTCCATCTCTGCACGATACACGACCTTTATCTTCTTTGTTTAAGGTATTACCACATGTACATCCGCGTTTGCGTTTGCGTGTTTCGCCTAATTGCCTCTCTCCCTCAAAGGCAGCATTATTTTTGTTCTTACAATTGAAGCAGCGACATTTTCTTGAGCACGCTTGACTTTTTCTGTTACAAGGACCGTTTAGAAGATGTGCAAGCCATTTTGGAAGGGTCTTTAACATTCTTGCCACAGGTACATCTGGTTTTAGTGTCATTTCCTTCCGTTTCATCATTCGAATTCAGAAATTCTGGAAACATACCAGAGAAAAAATACAGTGTAAGTAAAACCTCTCAAAGGAATGGTAACCCTCGTTGTTATCATCATCATCATCATCATCATCATCATCATGATTAATTATTATTATTACAATTACTATTATCCTATGGACTAGTTGATTTTTAAGATATCCACGTTTCAAATAATAGATACTCGTTTTTTTCTTCATCTGTAAATAAGAGAGTATCTTCTTTGATATTTATGATTGAGTGATTGCCAATCCAATAGGTAATAACGAGTTCGGAGAGCATGGGATGGCGCAGTAGCTCGCAGTAGTGAAAGCGGTCGCCTCCCACCAGTGTGGCCCGGTTTTAAATCCCGGCGTCGACGCCATATGTGGTTGAGTTTGTTGTTCTTCCTCTCCTTTGCTCCGAGAGTTTTTTTTTGCCGGTAGCATTTCCAGATCCCAATTCGATCAGGAATCAGGTAGAAGAAGAACCACTTTGTGGATGTGCTACCTCTAAATTGTTATTTATTTCTTTATATATTTATTTGCTTATTTAGAAGACCTTTATAAACACACACGGGCAGGAAAACGTACAAATGCCAATAACAAAATCATCCAAGCAAACGTGCTACACTTAAACTAGGCTTAAGACGGAATCCATCGGGAAATTGAGTAATTTTGATTTTCAGTGAACAAAAACCTTGTACCAGAACAATTTAAATAATATCGCATTCTTTTTCACATTTTTCAAGGGCTATGGATATATAAACAGTTATCTGTAATGACACCAAAGACTATTTCTGATGGGAGCCCGAGAAAATAAATGTCAAATTTCACGAGAATTGTGAAACACAGGTAAAGTTCTGAAAATTTCACGTGTAAGGTGTCATTTTGTGAAATTTGACATTTATTTTCTCTGGCTCTCATGAGACATTTTCTTTTCACATTCTTTGGTGTTACAGATAACTAATTGCATCCATAGCCCTTGAAAATATAAAAAAAGAATGCGATGTTGTTTGAATTATTCTGGTATTTTTGTACAATGAAAATTTAAATTACTCAATTTCCTGGTGGATTCCGTCTTAATGCCTTATGCATGCTTATTTACCTTTTGTAGCGTCATAATGCCCTGGACCTGAATGGTCGTACGCCAGATACATAGGTACAGCAGTGATGAAATGTTTTGGTAAAAATGGAATGGATGGGACATTAGGCAAAGCTGTAATTACAATGATCGGGACACGGAGGAGATTAGCACATGCCTTAGTACAGATGTCGCCAATGTCACTTACGAAATGGCCATCAGTTTTAAAACGTTCAATTTCCCGTACATTTGACGAACAGGACATCCACTCCCTGTATTCATCGAGATTTTCAGTGACTTCACGCACGAAAAGTAGTCTGAGGTTTTCCGTGTCACGTTCCTCGTTGATTCCAAGCCCCAGTGAGGAAATACGCTGTAGATTTTGCAAATCCGAACGTTGCAAGTGTTTTTTTAGCTGCCGGGCTGTTGCTCTGAAGAAGCAGTTTCCGTCTTTGTTAATTGGGTCCAACTGAAGATTAAATCCTGTGAGATTTCTTAACAGGTTATCTTTGTGCTGTGGGGTCAAATTTAATTCCATAACGTTTAACTTTGACTCCTGTTCATAAAGGTTACCTGCCGGTAAGTTTATCTTCCAGAGAAGACCAATCAAATCTATTGTTTTGTTGTTACATTTTGTTGTCCAACTGGTGATAAATTCTTGTATGTGCAGCGCTCGTTCCAAAATGTAGTTCAAGACGGAATCGTTTTCCAGTTCTTCCACAGTCTTAACTGTGACGAAAACGGATGATGTCCCTGGCATTCTACTAGCCTTACTGCTATTTTCAGAGACAGTTCCAGATATTGAACCCGGTAATGACGTTGACGTAGAATCCACAGCCGTCATGTGAGACTGAAGATAAGGGGTCGCTTGGTTTAAAGACTCTAAAGGCTTTAATTCAATTGGCGTGATCGGAATTGTTCTCTTATTGAGGGTTGTTTTTAATCTTCGTTTGCAATTCCATGCATACAAAGCACACGCCATTACCGCTACCGCCAACTCAGGTCCAATTTTGGATACTCCGCACAGTAATGATCGGTTAAGATGTCTGTGAAGTCGCTCATTTATTTCAGTCCCACATCCAACAGGTATTTCCGAGAGACATCCTTTTTTTATATGCTTGCGCAAATTTTCAATTTGAAGAAGGGTTTCCGTTTTCAGCTTTTCTCTCCAAACAAATAGAAGACGTTCAAGATTTGATTCTATTTCATCAGGACAAGGTGTGCTCATTGTTCTCTCGTTACCAAGGTCTCCATTTTGACGGAAAATTAAAGAAAATTCATTAGCAAATTGTTTACTGTAATCTTCGCTTTTGGGTACCGTTTGTACAACTCTCATACACGCGTGAAATAAGTCTAGCCGAACCTTTATCCCCGGGAATATTTGTCCATATAGGTGCATCACGTGGCAACAGTCATCCACTATTATCATTTTTAAGTTAGTGCTTGCCTTATCAAGCCTCTCTTTGAGTTCTTTAAGTGAGTCGATAATTTCGGACGAAGAAGTCGTCTTCGTAAACTTCCATATCATAACTTCTCCGTTTTCGTTCACCCCCAAGAAGACGTTTTTAAACTGGCCTACAAACTTGCCGTCCTCGCGGGTTACCCCGATATGTTTACTCGTTGTAAAGGTGTGGTCACAGGACAGAATCTCCCCTGTGTGTTTCTGCATGTTATTCTCATAACGTTTTTTGTTCCGCTCAAACTGCATGAGAAACAAATCCATCAGTTTATCGTTGCTTGGATAGGCAATGAAAGGAATACTCTCAAACTCCTTTACAGATAACTCTTTGCTGTCCGGTTTATTACGCATGTACTGTCTGTAATTCATTGATGCAATGCCTTCAGATAATTCCATGAAGTTTTGTCCTTGATAAATACCAGTTATTAAATAATCATAAAGACGCAGCGTAAAACCGCTTCTCTGCTGCATTATAAGAGGAAATCCCTTAACAACACTTTCAGGGAGAGCGCCTAACACATCGTTTGATGCGGACAAATACCGATGTCCAATCATCACGGTTTCTGGCAAACTTTCACTGCATTCATAGAACGCCTGCACCAGAATAACATTTCCGTTCAAGTCGTAAATCAATCTTGGGTTTCTTGGACTTGTGTTGGAGGAGTCAGGAAGATCGGTCCACTGTCCGACTTTCAGAGGACAGCCATGAATAGGACATAAAATAGTCAAACCGTAATGTCTTATTGGACACCAGATAAATAATTTTGGTATTAATTTTGACATAGCGTGTGGCCCTTCAACAATTTGATCAAACCTTCCATTTTGCGGTGTACAATCAAACTCTCTTAAGACATCCCGCAGATATTGTCCTGCTTCTTTTCCAAGAAGAACACAGATGATTGTTTTAAATCCCAAAACAAAGAATAAGCAAGAAACAATGATTAAATTTCTCATTATGTCCCCTTGATGTCGAACATCTAACTGTCGCTGGGTGGCATCGATCTTGGTAATATACGGTTCAGCCGGGATCAAAGTGCTACAAAGCTTGTGCAATTTATTTCGCAACGTTTTACTTAGTTATATTACTCCACGAGCCATAGTTCATGTGACCTACCAAATTAAGCCGTTTAATGCATGTCCATGAAAGTCAGGAAGTACATTCAATATACCTTAGTAAAGTGTGAGCATTTTTTTTGTTCATTTTTGTTTTTGTTTGGCATCGCGGGTCGGGTATTATCCAATAAAAAGCTAAGAAAACTGGTACCCTTTTTAAGGCCCAAAGCCGAAAAATGACACCCTATTCAAGGAAAAAACAAACATGTGGCTTGAAGAGGCGTTACGTGTATTTACCCGCTTAACGTCTATTAAACCTCTGTTGCAAGATCGAAACCGTTCGTTTAGGCGCGCATTTTCCCACTCCAGTATTAGATAATGCAATTAACCTACCCTATCTGAGGACCACACCAGGGACACAGAAACAAAAGGGTCAAGAAAGATACCCTATTTAAGGACCGAGAACTTCAAAAACCATACTCTATTGCGGGGCACGCACCTATATAGCCCATATATGAGAGTACCCCCCCACCCCCGGGGAATAGATACTGTTATTCAAAACCCATACGTTAATCCTTCCAAGAACTTCGCGTACAGAGGTGTATGGTGATGTATAGGGGTGTATGGTTATGTATGGAGTGTATGGTTATGTATAGGGGAGTATGGTGATGTATTGGGGTGTATGGTTATGTATGGAGGTGTGTGGTGATGTATAGGGGTGTATGGTGATGTATAGTGGTGTATAGTGATGTATAGGAGTGTATGGTAATGTGTAGGGGAGTATGGTGATTTATAGGGGTGTATGGGGATGTATAGGAATATATGGTGTTGTATAGGGGTGTATGGTTACGTATGGAGCTGTATGGTGATGTATAGGGGTGTATGGTTGTGTATGGAGGTGTATGGTGATTTATAGGGGTGTATGGTGATGTATAGGGATGTATGGTGATGTATAGGGGTGTATGGTGATGTATAGGGATGTATGGTGATGTATAAGGGTGTATGGTTATGTATGGAGGTATATGGAGATGTATAGGGGTGTATGGTGATGTATAGGGGTGTATGGTTATGTATGAGGGTGTATGGTGATGTATAGGGATGTATGGTGATATATAGAGGTGTATGGTGATGTATAGGGGTGTATGGTGATGTTTTGGGATGTATGGTGATGTGTAGGGATGTATAGTGATGTGCAGGGGTGTATGATGATGTATAGTAGTGTATGGGAATGTATAGAGATGTATGGTGATGTATAAGGGTGTATAAGGGTGTATGGTTATGTATGAGGGTTTATGGTGATGTATAGGGGTGTATGGTGATGTATGGGGATGTATGGTGGTGTATAGTGGTGTATGGAGATGTATAGGAATATATGGTGTTGTATGTGGGTGTATGGTGCTGTATAGGGGTGTATGGTTATGTATGGGGGTGTATGGTGATGTATAGCGGTGTATGGGGGTGTACGGTGAGGTATATGGATGTATGGTGATGTATAGGGGAGTATGGTGATGTATGGGGGTGTATGGTGATATCTAGGGATGTATGGTGATTTGTAGGGGTGTATGGTTATGTATGGGGATGTATGGTGATGTATAGGGGTGTATGGTGATGTATAGGAGTGTATGGTTATGTATGGGTGGTGTATGGTAATGTATAGGGATGTATGGTGATGTATAGGGGTGTATGGTGATGTATAGGGGTGTATGGTGATGTATAGTAGTGTATGGGAATGTATAGGGATGTATGGTGATGTATAAGGGTGTATGGTTATGTATGGAGGTGTATGGTAATGTATAGGGATGTATGGTGATGTATAGGGGTGTATGGTGATGTATAGGGGTGTATGGTGATGTATAGGGATGTATGGTGATGTGTAGGGGTGTATGGTGATGTATAGTAGTGTATGGGAATGTATAGGGATGTATGGTGATGTATAAGGGTGTATGGTTATGTATGGAGGTGTATGGAGATGTATAGGGGTCTATGGTGATGTATAGGGGTATATAGGGGTATATGGTGTTGTATGGGGTATATAGGGGTATATGGTGATGTATAGGGGTATATGGGGGTATATGGTGTTGTATAGGGGTATATAGGGGCATATAGTGTTGTATAGGGGTATATGGTGTTGTATAGGGGTATATGGGGGTATATGGTGTTGTATAGGGGTATATAGGGGTATATGGTGATGTATAGGGGTATATAGAGACATATAGTGTTGTATAGGGGTATATGGTGTGTAATAGGGGTATATAGGGGTATATGGTGTTGTATAGGGGTATATAGGGGTATATGGTGTTGTATAAATTATATAAGGGTATATGGTGTTGTATAGGGGTATATAAGGGTATATGGTGTTGTTATATAAAATTATATAAGGGGTATATGGTGTTGTATAAGGGGTATATAAGGGGTATATGGTGTTGTATAGGGGTATATGGGGGTATATGGTGTTGTATGGGGTATATAGGGGTATATGGTGTTGTATAGGGGTATATAGGGGTATATGGTGTTGTATAGGGGTATATAGGGGTATATGGTGTTGTATGGGGTATATAGGGGTATATGGTGTTGTATAGGGGTATATAGGGGTATATGGTGTTGTATAGGGGTATATAGGGGTATATGGTGTTGTATAGGGGTATATAGGGGTATATGGTGTTGTATAGGGGTATATAGGGGTATATGGTGATGTATAGGGGTCAGGGGGGGGGGGGCCCACGACTCCAATAGCGCCTAGTACTTGTTTCGTGTACCTATGATCCACCGATTTATGACATCACATCCGGTTGCAAAGTTGCTGCTCTGTTTTCGCGCGAAGCACAAAGATGGACGCCCGGTGCTATTTGGTTTCTTCGTTATTTTAACCAACAGGCTAACGGAATTATGTATCTTGAATGCCGAGAATGTTGAGAAGATATCTAGCCGGCCTTTCAGGCAAATGTCATGACCAAACAAAGAAGATTTAGTATTATTTTAATGCTAAATATCATGCAGCTCTGTGGAATGTCATGGCGAGTTTTGCGATGATTCAAAACGAGTGTCGTTAACGCTTTTCGGCTGTTGCGGCCTATGATTTAGAGAAGTCATCAATCAAAATATAATTCCCTAAGCGGAATAGAATGGGGAAAACGCCGATGGCCACAGTTTAAAGTGTTCACCGCTGGAAGGCTGGATCACGCCCCGTAAAGTTGCAGAAACTTGCACTCAACTGCATGGTTTTGAGGAATGTCATGGCGAGTCTTTCGCTGTTTTTAATCGAGCGTCACTCAAGAGTTTGGCTTTCGCGGCTTCTGATTCATCGAAGTCACCAATCACACTTGCCTATCCTGAGCGAAATACCGTGGAGGAAAAGCTTATGGTCACAGTTTAAAGTGTTAACAGCTGGAAGGCTTGGCACTCGACGTAAAGTTCCTGAAAGCTCTTCTCGACTTTACGGTTTGAGCAATGTAATGGTGAGTCTTTCTCTGTCTAATCGACCGTCACTCAAGACTTTGGCTTTTGCATCTTCTGATTCACCGAAGTCATCAATCAAAATACCCTATCCTGAGCGAAATACCGTGGAGAAAAAGCCTATGGTCACAATTTAAGGTGTTAACAGCTGGAAGGCTTTGCCACTCGACGTAAAGTTGCTGAAAGCTCTTAGCTACTCAACTAATTTCGAAATAGTCACATGTTGCGTGCTTCTGGAAGGTTAGTGTTGGATTTTAAGCATTTAATTTGCCTTTGAAGATTTATGTTTAGAACAAGCCTTAGGCCAAAAAGTAGTCCAATTTGTCATTATCTGAGAGAAATCACGAAAGTTTGTGCCCTTCCTTTTTTTCTAAGCTTGCAAGTGTAACGCACCTGATTTGGGAAGAAACCCTTATGCACTACAAGTCATATTGTCAAAATGACTAGTTCGAAATTACTCCTTATCTTAACTGATAACTACAACACTTATTTAAAAATGTATCGCTCCCGAACATGTGTTGATTGGTTCTTGACCTTTACAGTTGGGAAAAAAAACAATACTACGATTTACAGTGATTATAGTTATGTAATTAATTAGGAAATCAAAAAAGAATGAACTTAAAGTGAAAAAACAAAACAGCTGTTTTGACTGTCTAAGAGGTTTGTAGGTCTGAAGGGATCACTAGAGCTGTAGTATGAGACTCAATAAGAGGTCCAGTTACTTTAGAACGCGTTAGAAGTTTCCTGCAGCAAAACACATATTTTGGCTTGGTAATTACTTGTATTTCTTGATGTCAATTGCATGCTATGAATTAAGTGTCAGTTAGGGTCATTCATAATGCTGTACTGCACCTTATTTTATCTGACGATTATCTAAGGTATAAAAAATGAATTTTGTGTATTTTTAAAGACTTCAATATATGCTTACTTTTGAATTTATAAACAATATATATTTAAATCCTACACTGTAAGTCTGGTTGTCAGTGTAGCCTGTGTCGCAGACATAATCTATTGCCGGTTAGTAACATCTGCAAAGCCGTGCCAATATTCTGGGCTGCCAATCACAATGTGTTTCAATATTCCCTTCAACCTGACTGGCACACTGATAATGGTATTTTTAAGAGGCCAATCATAGCACATATGCAAGTGCTAGTTCACAGGTGGGCCACGGGGTGCCCAGAAGCAGGATTTCAGTGCTGTCTCACAGGGGGACTTAACCAGAAGTTTAGTTCTGTCTGTGGCACAGGCTAGTCCGCTGGGCATTAATGTTTAAATTA